AGCAACTACTCAGAAATTAAATCAACTTTTCATGGATGTTGTTGTAAGCTAGCTGATTTGTTGATTTTTGTGTATTTTCGATCTTCATATGCTTGGTGTTTAGTACTTTGTGTGTAGAGATATCCAAGTTTGTTCATTTCCATATTGTTAAATAAATATAAAAAGGCCAACTTGGATTAATACGCTGTAATATGATAATCTGTGCGTCGGTGGTTCAGTCGTAGAACACTGATCAACTACACTTGTGGTCCCGGAGTCAAAATCCGATTGACTCACTCCTTTACCCCGCTTAGCCAGTGGTAAGCCCGGTAAAGAGGGAAGGCTGATCTCAAGGCCAGCAACCCTACCCCCCCTAAAAACAACATCACTGCTACTGTAAACTTCAAAGTTTGAAAAATGAAGCTCTATTTCCCACCCTGAACGCAAAGTATTAAAATATAAATACATATAATCCGTCTTATGTAGGAATTTCGGTTTGCACCTTGCATATAATGCGGTAGTTCGTGTAATAGTCATCAGTGTCAACTGGAATCGATTCGCTCTGTTTGTAGTGTGTTCTCCAGTTCTCAAGTCTTTAAAAGTGCACATAGCTGAAAGCTTCATTGTCAGCCTATCAAAGTGTTCAAAATTCTTGTTGTTGGAGTCCTACAGATCTGCATATACATCTAGTCTTCATACACTAAGCATGCAGTCTTTAGGTTGTACTTAGTGTTTCCTCACTTAATTAATCGAGGAAGGGCACCATTTGCTTAGAAGACGAGTTTGGCGAAGAAACGCCGAATCTGTGAACACATCTTGCTACCACCCAAAATTAAATATTCTCCGTTTAATGAATATATGATAATGTATGGTCTCATTTTTTCAATCTCTACATATAGTGACTTCAAAAAGTACTTTTAAAGTCAGTTTTCGCGCTTATTCTCCCATTTCCAGTGTGATCTTTTATCTTCCTGTTTACTTTGAATATTAGGATCCTCAAATAACCTCGTGTCGACTAACTGAAATACTACCAGACTTCATTTCTCATGTGCTGTCCGGCTTCATAAACAGTCTCCAGTATACACATTATGAGATATGGCATCATTTGTTATCGCTTATTGGACGATTTATAATGATTTTCTCCAAAGTTCATGCTTCCGCCTCGACGACAGATTCAACTGCATTCATGGAATTATTGAAAGTTATACTACATTTACGTGATTGTTTAGCCGATGGACCTAAAAGCCTGATCAGTCTTATTCATGTTGATCCAAACAGCTTTTCTCTAATGGGTTTAGATGATCTTGGTGAGAAAATTATCGATGGATTGGACAGTGTCTGTTTAATAACTATTGAGTACATGGGCCCAGAATTACTTTCATCTGAAAGTGTATTTTCTTTGGAAACACTTGTCAAGGAATTGTAAGTTAATCGTTTTTATTTAGTATTCAGAAGTTCATATGATCTTTGAGAGTGCAATATTAACAAATAGGCGACCAGTTTTTTTTAATAATAATAATAATTTGCTTTATTCCATAAACAGTACATGTGATACAGAATGGAGTTCTCAGCATTTTTACTACAGTATTGCATCCAGTTAGTACATTATCAATAGATAGAATTCTACATAGATTAAGGAAATCTCAGTTCATTATGACAACAACATATTGGCATGTCGGTAGCTAAGGTAAAGCTGAACAGTGTTTGAAGGTGTTAGAAAATTAGGTGCTATCATATTTACTGGTGTAAGCGAAAGAAACAAAGCATCACATAACGGAAAAAAAGAAAAAGAGAGAGAGAAAAGGAAAAGAAAGAAAGAAAATGTTGTACCTATATGATAGAGAAGATTTGTAGCGCAGGTGGATGATTTTGATGTGGTTGTGTTCTCTGAGCTGGATAGTTAATTTGCGAAGCTTTCATCACCCTACTGGGTGACATCTTCAGCGCATACTTCAATTTGAAGTCTTCAAATTGAAGTATGCGCTGAAGATGTCACCCAGTAGGGTGATGAAAGCTTCGCAAATTAACTATCCAGCTCAGAGAACACAACCACATCAAAATGTTGTACCTATAAATGATATGAGTTGGAAAGACGAGGTCCAGTTGTACTACTGACTATTTAATGAATTATAGGTGTCACGCCTAATGCTTTCTTTATCGCACAGAACACGAGCTAAGTAGGGTATGGTTGAGTTTTTGTACTTGCTGGTGCGAGCATATAGTTTTCTATACAGGCTTCTGGTTTTGCCTGATAAGATGCAAGGGGGGGGGAGTTGTGAATGAAGAGGGTGGTGTGAGTTAGATAAAATGTATTTAGCCCATTTTTCACATGAGTCCATGTGCCTGTCAACCAGAACATATTAACAAGCTGGTTAAGTGGTACGTTGCTTACCCTGATGACAACCTTTAACATCCTGCGTAATATGTTATAGTCTTTCTTCAGTAGCCCGGGAAAAACTAAGGGGGAACAATAGAGAATAATAGGCAGAATGGGAGAGTTAACGAATCGTAAGAGTAAGGGTTGGGTTAATCCAGAATGTCTTAACTTCTTGATGTAGAAGGTAAGATGGAATATTTTCTTAGAAATCGCCAAGATATGAGACGACCAGGAGAGATCAGCAGATAGAATGATGCCTAGGTATTTAATTTCCGATTTGGTTTCTATTTCAGTGCCGTCTATGTTGCATACCTCGTGAGAGCTAACCAGTTTGTTTAGGTTGGTTTTATGCCTAAAGGTGAAATTGACTGTTTGGCATTCGGAGGGGTTTAGGGTAAGACCGTTTTCCTTGGACCACTGGCTGATTTCTGACAGAAAGCCATTAAGTTTAGAGCAGTCACTTTGACATTTGATAGGCAAAGATACAGTCAGATCGTCAGCATATTTGACAAAATTATTGTCATTTGAAGATGGAAACATGGCAGTTTATCCCATCGTATGATATGGTGTCGGTATCACAGACGAGTCAAACGACTACTCGTCAGTGTTCAACTGCACACGACAGCTCTACATTTTTTTCTACCATATGGTTGAGATAAACTGAGAGTTGCTTATCCCTCTCTGAAATTACGTATTTAAACCTTGGCTCAAGTAAATACTCATTGTGGATTTTTTTGCAATTTGAATAAGCTGACCAACTTTTTCAATTCTCCTGTGTATTGCTGAAGCAACAGTTAGATCTGATGTCTTCTGAAGAGATATTTTCAAGCATAAAGTTAGATGAGTAATAATTAATAAGAAAAACGCCACACTAACTTCAAATTCAATGCGGCTCAGGTTTATTTGCGTAAGCTAAACACAATACAGTCAACAATACAAGCTCATTCTTGTGACCCATGTTAAAATGTATATTGAATCTGAAGAAATGGTTTTCAATATGTTAAAGCGTATAAATATCATCATTATTTATTTGTAGGTTCGGCAATCACAGGGGAGATGTAAGCTTCGGTTGGGAAGTTGACATTTTATGCGCTTGTCTTTTCATAACTAAATTTTTGACTGAAACTACAAGTGTGAATAAGTGTTAAATGTACCTTTATGAAAAAAAACAACAACTGGCCTGTCTACATTTCAACAAAACATATCACTTAATAAATTAGAATCATTAGGTTTAAATAAGCACATTCAATTCGTTATGACTTGGCTAAAGTGGCCGATTTATCTCTGCTACTCATATTATCCACTCTTGTGACTCATTCAATATTTAATACTTATACCTCAAAACGTATAAATAGAATTCTTAGCTACTAATCTACCGATCGGAATACTGGTTTTATACATTATCACGAGTTAGAAATGCCAATGTAAACTATACATATTGAAAATCTCTTGAAAACCAATGCATGAACACAGATCATTCGATCAGTTTTTTGACGGTTAATGTAGTTGTTTAGTTTTAATGTAAAACTATTCGGTGATTTACACTGACATGCTGAGCCAAAGTGGCTGTACCTAAATGTATAGCAGTTCCATATCTTATGTCTGATCATGAGATTACATCAGTTGGAGAACGATTGAAAAACCTGGAAGTACTGGACAGCCGTTTCGTTCCAGTTTGGAACTCTTCAATAGTACGAACCCATGGGAGTTAGTACTTAGGATCTTCCAGTTACAGGGATGGTTTGTAGACCATTTAGCCACTAGGATCCGTCCAATTCAGTAGTCAGCTCATGAATTCCAACTTCTATCGGTTCGTGACTTTATCGTGACCGACTATCAGAAAATGTTATCTATCGGTGAGTATTTGTCCTCACTCCTGACAGAGTAAACCCCACTGGCCACGACTTCTCACTCGAACTACGGGCAACTCCATCCAGTAGGCATTCACTTGCAAGCATCGGACTAGTTCTTAAGAGTTAGGTTGTAGTGATCACCATGATGGGCGTGAGGACAAATACTTGCCGACAACAATAGTTGGTGGTAGCACTAAGATTACATGTCGGTAGAAGTTAGAATTCGCCGGCCATTTGATGGGATCCAAGTAGGTCAGTGGTCTGTGAGCTTACCTTGTCACCGAAAGATGCTGGGTGCGAACACTTGAAAATTCTCAAAATGGGACAAAATAGCTGTCCAGTACTCCTTGGTTTTTTCAATAGTTCTCTGACTGATGTCAGTTCGTGATCAAACTCTCGAAAACTCCATATTTATCATTAATTCATTTGACCACTTCACCTTTTTGGGAAGTTGTATCAGCACCAACGGACTGATTGGCGACGAAATCCAAAAAGCTCGGGGTGCTTACTCTAACTTACACCATCGCTGGTGTAGGTGTGACATCCGGCTATCAACCGAGGGACGTGTATACTGCTCAGCAGTTCGCTCCCTTCTTCTCTATGACTCTGAAACATGGCCAATACGAGTTGAAGACATGAAAAGGTTGACTGTTTTTGATCAAAGATGTCTACGAACTCTTTCTCACGTTAGGCGGTATAATAAGGTAAGTAGTGTTGACGTTAGGCGTAGAGTGTTGGGCGAAGAGGGAAAATAAATCGACGAAACTATAAAGTTACATGGATTGAGATGGCTAGGTCACGTGCTGCGCATGCTTAACCATCGCCTCCCCCGACGGACGGGCATTATTAGCTGATATAGGTGCAGGTTGGAAAAGAGTAAGTGGTGGCCAAACAAAAACATGGCCTCATCAATCCATGAAATCCTTGACAGTTAAACTGAGTCGGGTAGGGAGATGGAGACTTCCGAGTTGGGGCCCGCCCTCGGGACTCTAAGAATCAATGGGTGGAGACAATAGGTGACATGGCTCAAAATCGTTGTCAATGGCTTACGCAGATGTATTCAGTCTCTGTAATCTTCAGTCTCATATTCCTTTCTACCATTACTCATTCTGTTTCACTCTTATACTTGTCAAAACTCTATTGATTCTCTTCACTCATCTTCTTGTCTACCTTTGTGTGCTATTTGGAACGTGGCAACTCGAACTGCTGCACTTCGGTGCCAAGTTCTATGTTGAATCCAGCCAGGATGACGACTGCTTGATGCTTTATGTCTTTCAGTGTTTATATATAATTATTATCCATCTTTGATAAAAGTTGCCTAAAGTTTGCAATTTTAAGAATTTTAATGTTTCTTTTTCTATTTTACATTATTTGATTTGTAGAGAAGCCGGTAGTATTGATCTTCGAAGATCTTGGTTCCTACCGTTACTTTCACGTGCAGTTCCACAAAAACCATGCGCTTTATCTATCTTCAGTAAACAGATTCTTCCTCTGGCTGATAGAGCGCTTTCTGTAGCTAGTTCAACAGCTGCTATGAGTGATAAAACTAAACCTGCAAATAATGCATTGATCACTTTAGGGATTAAAGTGGCTTGCCAACTCTGGTCTGCGTTGAATATGTTTGTACATCGTAGTCCAACCGACTGGTCTGAACTGTCAACTGGTGGATTAGGATCTCGTCTTGTCAAGGAATTTAATTCAGCTCCTGCTTTAAGACCAATCATTCTGCATGCATTTCGGCGATTAGCTAAACTGGCAGCTGGTGATGGTAAGTTTGATTTATTAGCAAGGGATTTAATCCACGTCTTCCTTTATCATATTTGTCTTCTATTTGTGGTGGCGGAATTTATATTGTTCACTCCTATATGTTTTTATACGAACAAAGTCACTGGTCACCAGGGAGCTGCTTTTATATTAATTACTAGTTATGAATCTCTATTGGATTGATGAGTAAGGTGTGAAGTGAGGAGGTACCTGGCCTATCACATGATGTGATGGTGTTCTCATGACTTTAGTTGTCAGATCTGCTAAAGGCAATAGGATAGTGTGCGACCTAGTAGTTGTATGCAAGGTTTGCAGGAGGCTGTGTATTCTATGTGTATGCGCCTCGTCGTGATAATATTTATGGCATTTGCCAACCTATGTCATCACTAGTGTCGTAGATATGATATCCGGCTATCGATCAAAGAACGTGTGTACTGCTCACCAGTTCGCTCCATCCTATTTTATGGTTGTGAAATATGGCCACTGAAAGTTAAAGATATGAAAAGGCGAATTGTCCTCGATCATGGATGTCTCCGGTTTATCTCCAATATTTGGTGGTATAATAAGATGAGTAGTAGTAGAGACGACTACTACGACAGTGGGAAACTAGAAGACAGGGATATCCTGGACCGACGTGAAGAATCTAGAAGACCTAGATTTCGCGGGTGATTTATGTTTGATGTCACACAAAATCGAAGACTTACAAGCGAAAACCGACAAACTGGTCGAAGAAGCAGCCAGAGAAGACAGGACTCCAGGTGATCATAGACAAAACGGAGGTCATGAAAATAACCAACCAACAATAACAACAGCAGCAACATCCAGCGCCAATCACCATCAATGGGAGGGATTTGAAAGAGGTTACTTCATTCACTTATCTAGGGAGCATTGTCTCAACTACAGCAGGAACGGACGAGGATGTTTAATCGAGAGTCGGGAAGGCAAGAAACACATTCATTAACCTGAAACCAATCTGGAGATCTTCGTCACTCAACATCAACAACGAAATCCGGATTTTCAATGCAAACGTCAAGTCAGTCAGTTCTTCTATACGGATCAGAAACTTCGAGGGTCACAAAGAATATTTCCAACAAGTTGCAGACATTTATCAACAACTGTCTTCGCTCTATACTAAAGATCAGATAGCCGGAAAGAACAAGAACCAACAAGAAACTATGGAAACAAACAAAACAAGAACCAATCACCCAACAAATATGCAGGAGAAAGTGGAGATGGACTGGACACTCGCTGAGGAGTGACATCGCACTTCAGGCCAGTGCTCGAGTGGAACCCGAAAGAGAAGCGGCGAGTGGGACGTCCAAGGGTGACATGGAGGAGATCGTGTGAAGAGGAGCTGAAACAACATGGATTAACATGGATGCAGGTGAAAAGTACAGCAGAAGACAGAAGGAAGTGGAGACGTGCAGTTCCATTAGGAACCCAAGGGAACAATGATAATAATGATAGTAGTAGTATTAAAGTTAGACGTAGTGTTAGGTAAGAAGGGAAAGTTAATAGATAAGGTTGTAAAGGTAGATCCATTGAGATGGTCAGAACGTGTGTTATGCATGTGTAGACATCGATCGCCCTCCTTGACGGGAAATTTTAGCTCATATAGGATCAGATTGGGAAAGAGCTATTGGTGGACAAACCAAAACCATGAAATCTTTCGACAGTTGGTTTAAGCCACGTAGGGGGGGTAGGGTTGTAGACTTGCTGACTGGTTGGGGTCCTCATGGTTCTAAGAACCGATAGTTGGTGACAATTTGTGATATGGCTGGAAATTGTTCTCAGTGGCTGGCATAGATGCATTCACTCCCAGCGATTTGCCATATGCTTATTAACCACTTCGTGAAGTAGTCGACCATGACGAGTATGTATCGATTACCACGTCTCGACGTTGTTATTGGCCCCATGACATCTACCCCAACTCGGTGGTTGAAAGATTCCGTAAGCATAGGTACTAACGGTGCTCGGGAAGGTAGTTTGGGCTGTTTGATTTGTGCACATGTAGCACAGTTGCGGCAGAATTCAGTAACGTCGTGATGAAGAAGTGGCCACCAAAAACGTTGACGGACGGCGTGTTCGGTTTTTTGTTGGCCAGCGTGACCCAGCTGGTAGTGCACAAGGTGAATCACCTCCGGAACTTTCAACCGGGGAACAAGGAGACGGGGTGACGAGGATGGTTCCACTATATACAAAACATCGTCGATTAGTCGTAACACGCCCCACTTGCCACAGATGCATCGTGTTGTATCTGACAGACTCCGTAGTTCCTTATTCGATGGTTTATCGTTCCCATGGAGCTGTCGCGAGTAAACAGGTTGAATATCTGCATCAGCCGCCTGCAGTGCAGCCCAATCTACATCGATACCCGTATTAAGTAGAGCATTCACTGAGTCGTACCTCGGCAATCGGGAGAGGGCATCAGCGTTAGCATGCCGAGGCCCCGGACGATACTCACAAGTAAACTCGAACTCCTGTAACCGCTCTTGCCATCGAGCCACCTAACCTTCAGGTTCATGAAATGTTTGCAGCCATTGTAGTGCACGATGGTCAGTGCGTACTCGAAAGGGGCGCCCAAGTAGATAGTGTCTAAAGTGTCTCAGGAAATACACAAGGGCAAGCATCTCCCTTCGGGTTGTCGAGTACCGTGTTTCCCTTTTGTCTAGCTTGCGACTGGCATATGCAATAACGCGTTCTCGACCATCGGTTGCCACTTGGGAAAGGACAGCCCCTATAGCGTTAGCGCTTGCGTCCGTGTCCAGAATAAATCAACCAGATGACGGAGACGTGTCTGGGAACGCAAGGATGGGGGTTGATGTCAAGTTCGTCTTTAGCTTGTCGAACGCGTGTTGGCATTCATTGGTCCACAGGAATTTACGGCCCTTTTCTGTCAGGCGATGCAGGGGCGAGGCTAGGGTGGCAAACCCAGGCACGAAACGTCGGTAGTACGAAGCCAACCCTAGGAAGCTACGAACGTCTTTACACGACTGGGGTGTAGGCCATTCTGAGATGAGGCGCGTTTTCTCTGGATCTGTTTGAATACCATCTGGTGAAATTCGATGCCCCAAAAATGTGACTGCCCTCTGTAAGAATGAACATTTAGCCGGCTTCAACTTTAACCCATTCGTTCTAAACCTTGTAAGAACAACCCGTAGGTTATCCATGTGCTCCTCTGGGGACTTCCCATGTACAATAATGTCGTCAAGATAGATGAGACTATTTCTGTTTACTGTAGTTATTCTGAAACTTTCTCTCTCTCTGAGCGTTCTACATGGAGTATGACATCTCGAACTGTTGTATACTTCTGTGTAAAGTCCTATGTTGAATTCAGTCAGTTAGTCAATGAATAATTTTCCTTCTTAAAGTGATTCACGCGATGGAATTGACCTCTTCAATCCAGGATATTCAATGATTCTTTCTCATAATGTTTTTGTTTTTTGTGTTTTTTGGTAGACTCCGCAACTACTGTTATGCGTGGTGGAGCAAAAGTGGCACTACCAGCTATGCTATCACTTTATGAGACTTTAGATACAACTACACAATATTCAATGAAACAGAAAATTCAGGCAACATTATCATATTACCTACCGATTATGTCATCTAAGGTAAGTATTAGATATTCCCTGTTTTGATAGGAATATTTTAAAGAGAATGAAGCTGATGAGAGTACGTCTCACTTGTTTTTTTACTATGTAAATTATTTAAATATTTTAATAAGTCTGCGAACCGGTAGATGTTACGAAACGCCTAAGAAATGCGGTAAAAAGAGCATTCCATGCTGCTGAATTACGCTGCGTCTTTAAAAACACTCCCCTTTTGCGTTCGAGAGTAAAAGACAAACTGCCTAATTTCGCCTCTTCCATGTGTATCTATCAATTTAACTGCTCCTGTGGAGTGAGCCAGTTACATAGGCCGTACAATTAGGCGTGTTTCTCGTTGAATTTCCGAACATCACCCTGTGTGGTTAAGTAAAGGACAAACTAAATATATTTATGGCGCTATTCTATCACATATTGTGGATATAGAACACAAGACTAATGTTAACCATGCTTTCAGGGTCATTTACCGCATACCTACGAATCTCAATTTTGCCTTAAGAGTTCGACTACTAAATATTGCTGAGGCTGTTGGGATCCATATTAACAAGCCTAATTTGTGCATCCAAAAGAAGTTAGTTCAGAAATTATCCTTACTATGGTAATGTAGGTTCGAATAATCCGGAATTTTTGTGGAGTTTCCCTAATTTTAGTTGATATTCTATTCGCTATTATATCTTTATTATTATTATTATTATTATTATTATTATTATTATTATTATACAATCATCTTTAATGAACTGTAATTCCACTGATCATACTTTACAAATCGATATTACTTAAAAAACACTAATATTGCTATTGAATATTGTTCTAGAATGTTCTATGTACATAAACATATATATAATTGTAGAGCCCGAAGAGGAATTTATGGAAAAGGATATTCTTTGCTCAATTATTTTGTGTTTTATAAATCTTGTTTTGATTTTTGTCTCTTAAACACGCTGGGATTACTTTAAAAATAATTGATGAAGATAGGTATCATATGTAAAGATGGTTACCAAGAGACGCAATTATATCACTCATGAAGAAATTTAAATCATTTCACTTTATGCTAAATATTGCGCTGAAGATGTTGTCCAGAAGGACGACGAAAGCTCCTCAACTAAACCAACCAGCTCAGAGAACACTATTAATTGCAGATAGGTATCATGCTTATTATGCTTATCACGTATATTCCTGTGGCTTCAATGCAACGTTGTTTTTTTTCTGAGAGACAACTTTCTCAAAGAAGCACTTAGCTAAAATTTCAGCATTCAACAAGTAAGCATTACCACCTCAGAAGTATTCCCAGCATATTGTAGAAAACTCTTTCAGATATTTCTGCGCGATAAAGAATGGGGAATTATCATTGGATTTACAATTAGAGAAGTCATTAAGTGTTGGTTTACAGGGATTTTAGTTGGTTACAGGATCGATCACTGACTGACATCAGTTAGAGGAATATTGGAAAACTTGGAAGTGTGCTGGATAGCCGTTTCACCCTAGTTTGAGACTCTTCATCTGTTGGGGTTCGAACCTAAGGCCTTCTGGTTACGAAGTGAATTCGTAGACCATTAAACCACTGCCACTTGACCCAATGACCTGTGAATTCTAACTGCTGCCGATTTCCGATTTATATATTTAGCTCACCCACCTGTCAGTGTCACAGGTCTGGTTTCTTCAGGTAAATTTCGACGGCTTCAGCTTTATGTAGTCAAGGTACTTGTAAATTTATGATTATTATTTCCTTTAGTTCCTAGAGGAACATAGGGATTCAGCTGCACGTCTCCATTGCGTCCGGTTCTCTGTCAACGATTTCACCTGGCTCCACATCTGCCCACATGCTTTCATCTCCTCTTAACATGACCCCCTCCATGTCATCCTCACACTAACGACCAACTCGCCGCTTCCCGTTCGAGTTCCACTCTAGGGCCTGTCTTGTGATGTCACTTGATGGTTTCCTCAGAGTATGGCCGATTCACCTCCATTTCTTCCTGCTTATTTGTTGTACAATTTGTTTCTGGTTGGTTCGCTCCCAGAGATCTCTGTTGCTGATCCTTTCCGGCCATCTGATCTTGAGTATTGAGCGAAGACATCTGTTAATGAAGGTCTGTAGTTTGTTTGAGGTGGTCTTCATGACGCGGCAAGTCTCTGATCCATAAAGTAACACTGACTTCACATTGGAGTTGGAAATCCCGATCTTATTATTCATGCTGAGTGTGCTGTTGACCTCCACACACACACTTGACAGTAATGAAAGCTTGCTTTGCTTTCTCGATCCTTGTTTTGATATCCTCATCAGTTCTGCCTGTAGTTGAAACGATGCTTCCTAGGTAGGGAATGTGATAAATAACTGTAAATACTTTATCAACACCAACTTTACGCTTTTTGTCTACAAGGTGTGCTAAAATAAAGCTACGAATAGATCATCTTTATCCCTTGTTTAACCATGCAGACTGCTGTTTGGAAATCCGATTATAAACCTGCCGAACCTTACGCTGAATTTAACAGCTGCAGAGGAGTGAGTGGTCAAACTGGTAGATACACGTAGAGGAAGAGAAATTAAGCAGTTTCTCCTTATTTCTCGAACGTGAGATTGAGGTGGTTGTAAAGAAACAGTGTACTTTTGCTGCATTGAATACTCTTTTTCCTTCATTCTTCAGACACTGTGTTACTATTTCACTGATATCACTCAGAAACTGCAGTTCTATGAACAAGGGTTTCTTTAGAGCTGTTGTTATACTTACTTGCTTTGGTGCTAAATTCATGTTTTTATCAATGAACCTGTCTGGATAACCATTTTTACTGATTAATTCTTTGATCATTTTAGACTCGCCCTTCCCCATTAGAACAGCCTTTTGAGCAGATTATTCCAGCTCAATAAACCAGACACTTTACTAAGTTGAGTTTATATTTTTAACGGTGTAAAACTCAAACACGAATATACTGACCTGCGGTTGTAGGTGTTCTGTATAAACTCCTTCTAAATCTACCATCCTTTATCCTCTTTCAATTAACCAATCACCTGGTTCAAAAATGTACTTGATGGTTCATAATGATTTGGTTCTAATACTTCCACCAATCATTCTACCAGTCAATGTTTTGAAGAATAAAACTGGGATGATACTGTACGAGGGACCAATTGTATTTGCTTATGGATTCAAGAATTATAAACTTTGTATAGTTTAATGAATGAAATCCTGATTAAATTTGCCTAGATTAAGATTAACTTCCCTTTCGGGGGAAATCAGTCCACGAGGTTGTGAAGTTACATTGTTTAAGGTGGTTAGGACATGTGTTACACATGCCTGTCTAGCCATCGCCTTCCTCGACAGGCAATGTTAGCTGACTAACATAAGAACAGGTTGGAAAAGAGCCAGTGGTGGACAAACCAAAACATGGCTTCATCAGTCAGTGAACTTTGTTGGATATTATAAATCACAAGGAGTGGATGCATCTCCACCAGCCACTGAGAACGATTTTCAGTCATTGGTTTTTACCATCCCGAGGACCCCAACCAAACAGCCAACCAGTTTACACTTCCCTATGTGGCTGGCTTAAGTTAACTGTTGTGGATTTCATTGACTGATGAAGCCATGTTTTGGTTTGCCCATCACTGGCTCTTTTCCAACCTCTTCTTATGTCAGTTAGCTTACATTGCCCGTTGAGGAAGGCGATGGCTAGATAGGCATGCGTAACACATGTTCTAACCACCTCAAACAATGTAACTTCCCAACCTCGTCGACTTATTTCCTCCTCCTTACTTAACACTCGACCGACGCCTAATCTCAGTATTGCTCACCTTATTATACCACTTCACACGGGAGATAGAACACAGGAACCTGTGATCAAAGACAGCTAGCCTTTTTGTATCTTCCATTTTCAATGGCCATGTCTCACAACCATAAAGTAGGACATAAGTGTGATAAAACTGTTCTTGAGTGTTCTATACACATACTGAACATATTTTGCCTGGTTTAGGCATTCTAGTCTTGCACTAAAATAACGCACCAGGTGAACCAAGTGTCATCACTATAGACTTTTTGAATAGAGCGATATGTTTCTGGAAAATTACGGTAAAAGTTTACTAGGCATCACTGGCATACATCATAATTGGGGGCTTTATAAATACTTTAACTAATTAAAATTTATTTCTCTTAACTTCAGATCATCTGCTCAGTGACAAAAACTGCTATGAACAAGTTTGACAATACAAATCAGTAAGTGATATTTATGTAAATATTAGACTTGTAAAGTTTTAATCGGTTTCACCTTATAAAAGAACCATTGAAAAGCAATGGCTGCTAAACATCTGTTTCACTCAAGTGTGGAACTCGTCGCCAGTGTGCTCTTGTGACCCATTTACCGTGTAATCTAGCAATCTTTGATACAACCTCTTGAGAAATCATAGATGCACACTGATGATGAGTTCCGAAGCGAGACGAAATAGGTTTTTATTTAGTGATACAGTAGTACTGTAGATGGTTATCGGACTTCTAGTTTGTTGTCATTAATCACATATCTTTTATTCATTTCTTCCGATTGTCTTCATTTCAGACCTATCTATCTGGAAATATTCCATATTGTAGTGCCTTATAATTCTGTCAGTGATTTGGAAGTGATCGTTGCAAGAATTAATGACTATCTGACTGTAAGTATGTATATATTTGAGTTCAGATTTAAGTAAGCTGGTTTTATTTTTCTATCACAGAATTACGAAACAGTGTCTACTGGTCAGTTTTTATATCCTCTAGGAGAGGTTTAAGTTAACTAGCTCAAGTTGTTTAAACTTTGATGATCAATAGTTGGGAAGTTTTGCTGAATTGTTTTAAGACCCATCACAGTTGATCGAATAGGTTCAACTGTCAGTCTTTATTTGATTTGATAATTTGGATACTTTTGCCAAGTTTCATTCCAGTCACTGTATCATTTCGAATTTGAAATTATGTTAAAAGAAAAATAAATATGATTCCCTTTGACCGGCACTAGTTGGCAACTAGGGTAACGTGTCTAGTCCTCTGTTTGGTGCAGACTGAATTCTATCAGTCAAGCTTGAAAAGTGTCCACCATTCTCGTTAGCCTATTGCTTCCAAACATCTAATATCAACAATTCAAAGTCTGTCTGTCTGGATTCAACACAGAACTTGGCACCGAAGTGTAGCAGTTCAAGTTGCCACATTGCAAATAGCACACAAAGGTAGACAAGAAGATGGGTGAAGAGAATCAATAGAGTTTTGACAAGTACAAGAGTGAAACAGAATGAGTAATGGTAGAAAAGAATATGAAAGATTACAGAGACTGAATACATCTGCGTAAGCCATTGACAACGATTTTGAGCCATGTCACCTATTGTCTCCAGCCATTGGTTCTTAGGGTCCCGAGGGCCCCAACCCGGAAGGAAGTCTCAATCTCCCTACCTGACTCAGTTTAACTGTCAGGGATTTCATGGATTGACGAGGCCATGTTTTTGTTTGGCCACCACTTACTCTTTTCCAACCTGCACCTATATCAGCTAGTAATGCCCGTCGGGGGAGGCGATGGTTAGGCATGCGCTGCAGCACGTGACCTATCCATCTCAATCTATGTAACTTTATAGCCTCGTCGATTGATTTTCCCTCTTTGCCCAACACTCTGCGGCCTAACGTCAGCATTACTTACCTTATTATATCATCTAACGTGAGAAAGAGATCGTAGACATCTATGGTCAAAAACAGTCAACCTTTTCATGTCTTCAACTCTTATTGGCCATGTTTCAAAGTGCACCGTAATGGCGAGTCATCTAGAATGGTGGCCACACTGCAAACTTGACTGACTGATAGAATTCAGTCTGCACCAAACAGGAGGACTAGGCAGATTGCAATAGTTACTAACTAGTGTCCAATACAGTCCTTCAGGAGGAGGTCAATCGCCAGCCCGAATAGCTCAGTGGCAACGTCTCTGACTACAGCGCTCACTGGATGACGTGGGTTCGAATCTCAGGAGGGAACTGAGTTCCTTCAAGGTCGCAGATACGCGTGCCTTGCTGAGTGGTGAGTGCCAGCTAGCTCGACACCTAAGTCCAAGGCTTCCTGTCGATTGCCTCCAACCATCTAATAACAACAAATATGAAAATCCTGTAACCAATCAAATCCCTACAAACCAACACTTGAATATCAATGCTCACTAGCGACTTGCCCTATTCAGGTAGGTAGTTACCTGGGGTTCTAGTGAGAAGTGGTGACCAGTAGGGTGCAGCAGGTCGGGTGTGAGGACAAATACTCGCCGAAGACATTGGCTAGGGGTCGCGCTATGTCGTGAATTGGCAGAAGTTAGAATTCATGGGCTGACCATTGGATCGGGTCCCAGTGGCTTAATGGTATACGAGCTAGCTCGCCTTGTAACCAGAAGGTCCTGGGTTCGAATCCCGGTGGGTGCATACTGCTGATGAAATCCTCCGTGCAATCAAACAAAATATCTATAAAACCAATACTTGCAAAATTTATCACTCTTTTATTGTATAACATTATTGTTATCTATCTTCACATTCTTTTTTCATATATATTTGCTTAGTTGGAACAATTGTCAAAACCGTTGAAAAAACGTGCATGTCGTGTTTTAGAAAGTATTTGTGCTGGAGGGACTAGTCAAACTGATGAATTCTTAAATTCAAACCTGGATAATCTTATCCTATTAGTTTGTGGTTTAACAAAGAGACTAGTAAATAAATCGTCAGAAAAAGCGACAGCGACAACAACAACAACCGCTACTACTACTACTGTGACAGGAACACTGCCGACAACAATAAATAATGATGATGATAATAATACTGAATCGATAGAGAAAAAGATGACCAAGTTATCAGTCTGCGGAATGAAACTGGATCAATCATCAAATAAAACCGCCAAATACTTTATCCCATGGAAACCTCTTCTACAGTGTATTCATCATTTATTCAAACGTTTAGTTACTTGTGAGCTGAATGCTGCAGCTAACAGTATGAATTCCGATGAGACTATGGATAATGGTGATTTGATGGAGAATGAACGTTTAAAAAAGTTTGCTAATATGTTCTTCCCTGAGGTAAATTGTTAATTCATGTTTATGTATTCAGTATTATTCCTTTACGCGTTCCCAGTGGAACATAGGGCTTCAATCTAGAGCTTTAAAGGTTTCTCTGGCAGTGGTTGTTTATTTTTACGGGATGGGGTTTCTAGTCTGTCTCACAACCAACCTTCCTCCCTTTACTAGTCGGCCGGGAATCGAACCCTGGACCACATGCGTGATTGACGAGCATCCTGCGGCTGTGCTAACGACGCTCTACTTATGAGTAGTAACACGGAGTTCTGTAATGTCATAGAACTTTCCGGTAAGTTATTTAACATCATGCAACGATTGTCCTTAATGGTTCTGTCACTGGCGATAGAATTCGCTTGGCGAAATTTGCGATGAAAGAAATCCTGTTGGGCTTAGTTAACTCTAGTCTGATTTCGTCAGCATAAAATGATAGATGCCGAATAGGTGGAAAATCAAAGCTTAAGAATCTGTTTGTGCCGGCGAACGTCTCTTTATATACTACTGATAAATCCTGTCAGTAGCACATGCCACAAATCTAACACTGTATATTTATTTCGGTGTCACTGTTATGTCAAATCATGGTCAATCGCTACACTGTTAAAAAGCACAAATTTGGTACATTATGGGCACCAAGAGATATACGCCACACAAAATGGTATATTTGATGTGAGGACTAGGATACTAGCTGTGAACAACGTCCAGACTGAAACGGGTGGTTGCCTTGAGCGACTACTCCTGAACCTTGTGACGACTTTGGAGTCTGATCCACTAGGCAATGCAGTCGCGTCATGCTCTGCAGTGACCAAAACAGGTCTATACATCATTCGATTCTTCCTAGTTCTAGAGCCCATATACACCGTAGGTTGGGAATCAGCGTTTCCCAGCTTCCTTAGGTAGACCTATATATGTCGACCAGTCCAGTTGTAAGCAGCAAACTTTTGCATTCGGCGTTTCACTTTTGTGAGGCACACTCCTACTGTGTGAAGATAAGTGAGTAGGAATCGTGTTGAAAGTTTGGGTGTAATGTGCTCCCATTTCTGTAAGGCATATCAGAATTTGACTAGGGTGGTTACGCTATCGTCCTCTGTGCATTTATAGTGAAAGGAAAAAATCTAACTAGATTTTGACATTCTATACGAATGGAAACAAGAAAATTGAATGTTGTTTTTTGGGCGTTTGAAAAAAAGCAATCAGAACAGTTACAATAAAATCTGGCTTCAAAGCGTTGAAAATACTGATCGTCCCTGTCACTGAGAAACAGAATTCCCTGACCTTTAACTGACTGACTGGTCTCAACATAGAACTTTTCACAGATGTGCAGCAGTCCCAGTAGCCACACTCCCTCCATGTAGCACACAAACCAAGAGAAGAGGATAAAGAGAGGTTCAAAGGAGAAATAATGAATAGAAGTGTGAGCGAGAGAAAAAGAACAGTAATATGAAAGAACAATACAATTGGATATTATAAATCACAAGGAGTGAGTGCATCTGCACCAGCTATTGAGAACGATTTTGATCTGTCACCGATTTTCTCCAGCTATTTGTTCTTAGAATCCCGAGGACCCCAGTCATGAAGTCTACATCTCCCCACGTGACTCTCAAACCGACTGTCAAAAGATTTCATTGACTGATGCAGCCATGTTTCGGTTTGACCTCAACTGACTCCTTTTCAACGTGATCTTTCCTATGTCAGCGGCTAACACTCCCCGTCGAGGAAGGCGATTGATGGCTAGGCAGGCATGCGTAACACCTGTTCTAGCCAACTCAATTGATGTATCTTCACAACCTCATCGACTGACCTTCCCTCCTTATCTAACACTCTACGCCTAACCTCAGTATTACTCATCCTATTATACCACCTAACATGGGGGATAGAATGCAGACATCTATGATCAAAGGCAACCAACCTTTTCCTATCTCACACTTTCATTGGTCATTTCTCACATCCATAAAAAGGAGGACGGAGTGAGTGAACTGGTGAGCATTACACACGTTCTTTGATCATGTCAACGCCAGATATGGTGTAAGCTGGCGGATGCCAAACGAGCCTTCTGTATCCCTGCTGAGATTTCGTCAGCGATCAACCCGCTGGCGTTGGCTGAAATGGTCAACACGCTCTACCAAGTACTGAGCTGTGGATTGCTCATCCACTAGTGAGAAATGTCAGGTGTATATTATCGACCATAGACAAATATAGTGTTCCGACACAAATTATGTATTTTATGCATCGATACAATACATTGTATATTTATGTGAATATATATATATATATATATTGAACAAAATAATGCTTAATGATTTCTTTTCAAATCATTTGTCTCGTTTTAGATACTAACATGTATGCTCGATTTGAATCGTATAATACGAGATTTAGCTGGCCGTCTATTAATTGGTCTGGTGAATGCTTTTGCTGGCCAACAACCATTTGATAAAAATATTAATTCCTTATCATTGTTGTATGGATCACGGAGTAATTTAAACTTTGATGCGAATAGTTCTCGTCCACCGACAATTATGAAAGGTATAATGAAGGATTCAGATAACGAGGATGATAATGATGATAATGGGAATGGAAGTGTTCGACAGGATGGCAAATCTGCCATGTCATTAGGAGGATTAACATGTTCCGATGACGATGATGATGATATAGTCTCAACTAAGTCTATGCAACGTGGCAGTGTAATATCTGAACGGGTAAGCGTATACTAACTTTTAATCTATACGCGAAAACGTAGACATTGCGGTAGTACTTATGTTTTGTTTTTTAATTCCTTTACGTTCCAACTGGAGCTTCGCAGTCTCTGTGTATCTGTGGTTTTATTTTTACGGTATGGGGTTGCTAGCCTCACACCCAGCCTTCCCTCTCCACTGATCTTACTACCTATTAAGCGATGATCTTGACTTCGCCGATGATATATGTCTGATTTCCCACAAACTGGAAGATATGCAAGCGAAAAGCAACAAGTTGGCAGAAGAAGCATCAAACATAGGACTTCAGGTGAACATAGAGAAAATAGAGGTAATGAAGATTCCTGGACAAGAACAACAACAACAGACAACAATCAGCCAGCATAAATGGAAGGAACCTGAAAGAAACAACCTCCTTCACCTACCTACCTGGGAAGCATCGTTTCAACTACAGGCGGAACTGACGAGGATATCAAAGCGAGGATCGGAGAAGTGTGGAGGTCAACAGCACTCAGCATCAAACATAAGATCCGGATTTTCAACTCCAATGTGAAGTCAGTCAGTGCTAATATACGGATCAGAGACGTGCACTGCGCGTCATAAAGAGCATATCAAACAAACTACAGACCTTCATTAACAGCTAGCTGTCTTCGCTCAATACTACTCAAGATCAGATGGCCAGCCAGAAAAAATCAGCAACAGAGAGGGATCTCTGGCAATGAGCGAACCAACACAGCAGGAACCGATTGTGAAACAAATAGGCAGGAAGAAATGGAGGTGGATTGGTTGGCCATACTCTAAGGAAACCATCAAGTGACATCACTAGACAAGCCATCACTCGAGTGGAACTGGTAGGGGAAGCGGCGAGTTGGTCGTCAGTGCAAGGGTGACTTGGAGGAGGTCATGTGAAGAGGAGATGAAAGCGTGTGGGCAGACATGGAGCCAGGTGAAGACTCTAGCAGAGAACCGAACACAATGGAGACGCATGGCTGAAGCCCTATGTTCCTCTAGGAATTAAAGGATACGATAATAATAATAATTAAGCGAGGTCCAGGAGTGCGTTGGCCAGTGACCGGACGCCGGACCATCACATGCGGTGTGGTTGCCGGGTGTTCTACCTCTGAACCACTAACGATGCATCGGTAGTACATAATTCCATATCAATTCGTTTTGTTGTGGATGTATCTCACAGGGAAACAGTATCATCTCGTGGATGATGTTTCGAGCAGTCATTATGATTACGAACCATAAATTATGTTTTAAAACTTCATCCAGTAAATAATGTTGTTTCACTGTGTAATATATCCAAGAAACAGTTTAATATGGAATTATATGCCTGTCCACTTCTCTTCTTGTTAGTTTCAAGTCTGAATGGGCCATTAAGAAGACAAGTGTCGCGAGATGACATCATTTCGTAGTTTCTTTACGATTGCTTTACAACTAGAATGGTTCACTAGAATAAAATAAAATGTATGACAATTACTCAGTCATATGAAATGAAATTATGTAGTAATAACCGATCAATTATTTTAGTGACTCTGGCACGTCATAGTAAGCAAAAGGTTGAAGTGCATTGTTTTCTGTACACACATAGTCTGAAATGCGTGTAGTTTCGTCACCTTTGATCACGTCGAAATAATTGAGAGGCAGTCATTAATATTGATTTTGTGCTCTGTAATAGATGATGCTAGATTTCTTTTCAGATTAAGTACTTTTGGGTTTTCTGTGTGAACCATTTAGGAACATATTCTTTCTGGCGATATCAGAACATTTTATCGGTTCTACCTGAATGTGTCACCTCATTTTCAGGTGAACTTGTAGATACGGTATGGAGTAGAGTTCACAGAATTTCGTCCTTTAATCGTAAGTACACAAATTAAAAATGTTCGAGATATCAGAAAAATGGATGCGGCGTGTAGGATTTGCGCTTGTTAGCTGCCCGAGGCCTTTGAGCTGTCAGTTGCACGATTCGATTACCCTTAAATAGTAGTTTAACAAAGCTGTTTTAGTACGGAAGCTGTCTCCTCAAGGGATGGTCTCTCGTCAATTTTTACGCACTCTGGAAAATCAGCATTTCATTAAGTTTACGTGTATACTGGATAGAAACAAAACTTGTGAAATGAAGATATTATCCACTCCGTATTCCCTTGCAAAATTTTGATTGCTTAATTGTTCCATCGTACTGCCTAGTTATTAAAAAATATCCAGGATACCCAATTTGTTATTTAATTTGAATTCTGAAGTTACTCGAATATTTAGTTGTATATTATTAAACTGTGTAATGAAGTTGTTAATGGACTCATTATTGTTACCGATAATCAACAGCATTTCGTCCATATCCAACGTTTATAAAAGGGTAAAGTTTGATAGCAATCTTTCGATTTTTTTCTCCGATTTCAACATAAATACATCTGCTAACAGGAGCCCTAAAAGAGCTTCCCATTTTAACAGCATCAATTTATATGCATCGAATCTGATTTTTTCTGTACATGTTAATATAATATCTCTAATGCAAGTGACAGGTATAAGCAATTGTATTCCATTGCCTGTGATGTGATCGCAAGTGAAATCAACAGTGTGGTGAAGTCAGACATTGGTGAACAAAGACTCTATGTCGATTAAGGACATAACAGTCAATTATATAATACAGGAATAAACGATATAAAAGAAAACTTGGGTCTTGTAGTATTTCGTCTTTTTGACTCTAAGGTAATAAACATGTCCAAACGTTCAGAATGTAATTATACTGCAGTAAAAGCAGTCCTACATATCAGAGAATAGACATATATATAATTGGTGGATGGTGATTAGCAGTGGAATCCAGGATGTACATTTCGTCCTATCTGGGACTCGTCATCTGGATGCACCTGCATTCTCCAGTGAGTGAGTGATGATATTCCCACCGAGGCTCGAACCTAGTGCTCATAGTAGATAACGCTTTGGCGTTTGAAACTATTGGCACTGGGTTCAAGCCTCGATGAGAACACCATCACTCACTCACTGGGGAATGCAGGTACACCCAGCTGACGAGTCCCAAATAGAACGAAATGCGCATCCTGGACTCCACTGCTAGTTACCATTCGCCAATTAAATTCTAATTACATGCCCAAACATCGTCGAAACATCTGCAGAAGAAGTCGACATGTCAACCTGAGACCGAGCACTTCGGCCCAATCAGTCGACGGGAAAATCTAAAATTCATTTAAGTCATATATATATATATATATATATATATATATATAGACCAGAATAATCATCTTTCAACCAAATGTCGTCACTTCCCGAAGCAGACATAGGAGAAATATCATAAAGGATAGGTATACGTTTCAGATCAGACGGTGGGGCACTGCGTCACGCGATCTACCATCAATTACTATTGCATTTGAAGATATCGCACCATGAGAAAACACTAAGCAATAAATTCTACTAAGAATTCTGTACATTCCTTATAAACACTGTTTCGAATAAAGCTATTCGTCTTCATGAGTTAGTTTTGTAGGGATTAGATTTGTTTCAGGTTCGATCACGGATTGGTGTCAGTTAGTAGACCACTGAAAACTAGCTTTGGAGTACTGGGTAGCTATTTCGTCCTTATTTGGGACTCTTCAAAAATTGCCTAAAATATCTATTTTTGTGAGCAGAAAACAAGTGTCCCTTATATGATACGATTGACTTCTTTGTGTAGCATAAAGTGTGCTCTTAACACTCACCGAGGGATGATTGTACACGTTTCTTATAGGTCAGCTCGAGTCTTAATTTTTATTATTATGGCTTATGACGACCAGTTAATTATATTACTATTATATGAGTGTTATTGCTTGCATATATTTTCCCCTTTCCCAATATGATCAAAGTTAGTGAGTGTTCTGTTTGTTTTTCTTTGTTTCTTTTATGCTATTATCTCAGATATGTCGTGCTTTAAATCTAGTCCTATCACGTTTATGGCCATGTCTTCCACCGCATAATCGTTCTGCTGACAATTCAATTGATTTAGCCTTACAACAATCATCAGCTCGTGCTATCTGTCTACTTATGAAGCATACACGTTTTAGACAGGCACTCGTCTTAAATATCGATTCAGAATCAGAAGAAATTTGTCAGTTAGTATCTATTATACTAAATGAAGTGAATTTAATCAGCCAAAATTTAGTGAAATCTCCTCAACGTGTATTAATTCGTTTAGGATTACAATTGTCACGTTCACTTATTGCCTTTATTCAAGAAGGTTGTATCAGTTTAGCTTCTGTGGTAAGTTAACGAATGCATGTGTGTGCGTGTGTGTGTTCATTTTCCGTGTCTCCTCCATTACTTTTTTGTGTTCATTTCTGTATACCCCTTTGTGTTCTACCTTTGCTAACTAACCATGCTGGATAGTGTTTCTGAGCGCGTTTTACAAGCGGACGCATGGTACGGCCAATGTACCCGGCTCCACACGAGCAAGTTAACTTGTTGAAGTGGCCCAATGCGACAATTTGTCTCTCACGTGCTGGGTGAGTAGTTCCTTGCAGGAGAATGTTACTCGTAGGCGGCTGGTGGCGAAGTAGGTTTTACTGAGAGACTTCGAAATCCGTCTACGGAGAAGTCCTGCTTTTCTATTCATTTCTAAGGAGATATACACTAGATAAGTATCTCTAAACCTGAAATGCTTATTCATTGAATTTGTCTTTTCTTCAAATTCTTTCCTACAGTTGTTTGGCACAAGTGATGCTAACTTTATCCACACACTGTTGTATCTTAAGTGGTTTTTCTGTGTAAAGGTTACGCTTATATTTTGTCAAGAGTAATAATAGTAATTAATATCTGAGGAGTTGCATTTCAGCGAACTGTACGCTAGTTTTAACGGTTTCGCTTCATTACTTTAGAGTGTTACTTGGTAACCGCATCAGACTTTGTACTAAAATTCTATCAAAAGACAACATATCCTCCTTATGAATTATAGTGTCATGATTATTATTCTTATTTCACAGCTTGAAACTCTACAGTCCATTCATCCCACATGTAAACGACCTTTGCGTTTTGTGGTAAAGTCAATTCTAGAGAAGATGATAAAGAAGTTCGGGTAAGTAAACAATGAATTTACCTTTTATACATACCAGTAATATTCACAGTGTGTCTGTTTTCTACTTACCAGAGAACGTTTTTGTCGACTTAGAGCATATGGACGATATAGTCCTCCTAGATGGAGATGTTAACACCTTGAGCGGCCACCTTCGAATGTTTTTGGCGTGCGATTTGCTCCTGTCAAATGTAAGATGATTCTCTTCAGGACTGGACTACATCGTTTCCTAGCCTTATGATAGGGGGTGAAATAAGGGAGCGTGCTAACCACTTCACTTATTTAGGGAGTTGCATCAGCCAACGCTAGAGGGTTGATGGTTGACGAAATCTCAGCACGGATACAGAATGCTTGTTTGCCATATGCCACCATACACTGTCTCTGGCTTAGTTGACGTGATATCCAGCTGACTGTCGACCGAAGAGCGTGTGTACTGCTCAGAAGTTCTCTCTCTCCTCCTTTATGGTTGATTGTGTGAAAAGGCCAGCTGTCTTTGATCATAGGTGTCTGCCTTCTATCTTCCGTGTTAAACGGTATAATAAGGTGAGCAATATTGAGGTTAGGCATCGGTCGAGTGCTACGTAAGGACGGGAAATCAATAGACGAGATGATGAAGTTACACTGATTGAAACGGTTACAACATGTGTTACGCATGCCTGTCTAGCCATCACCTTCCTCAACGGGTAATGTTAGCTGACATATTATGGATCAGGTTGAAAAAGAGAAATCTAGTGGTGGTCAAACGGAAACACGGCTTCATCAGTCAATGAAATCCACAACAGTTAGTTTAAGCTGTTTGATTGGAGTCCTCAGGATGGTTAGATCCATAAAGGCTGGAGACAATTGGTGATATGGCTCAAAATTTTCTCAATGGCTGGTGCCAATGCATTCAATCTTTGTGATTTGCCATCTCCATTAATCCACCATTTTTTCCGTGTTACTATTCTTTCTCCCTTACATCTCTGCTTATTATGGTTCTTTTGAATCTGTCTCTCTGTTGTCTACATTGGTAGGCTACATGGAGTGTGAAAACGTCAACTGCTGCACTTCTGTGCTAAGTAACATTTTAAAACTCAGTTAGTAGGTTGTTTCCTTCATTCCTAATATACTTCCTCGTTTCTTGTGAGGAATTTTAAATACTGCACTGGTCATTTACCATAATTAATTAGTTAATAAACGTTTTACAACTCTAAATGTATATTATAAACTTGGACATTGATAGTGTGTTATGTGTAATTCAAAAATACTGACCGAATCTAGCTCTACAATATCTATTTTTTTTTGATTATTTTTGTATGCTAACTCCATAGCTTCCTAACAGAGGCCGCCAACTGCTAAAATGTACGCAGTGTGCATTGATAGTCTAATGGCAGTGTAATAAGAAAAGATAAGAGACTGGATAGCGGACCTTTATTAAGGAAAAATACACTATATTTATACATTCATCTTAGTTACACTGAATTTCGGCTACGTTAGAGGAGAACAAAATGTTCTGATTGGTTAGCGATTGACCCAAGATTAAACAGGTTGTCCAGTGTTGTTTCCTGTCCACAACGTAGACTAAATCCAGATTCGAGGAATAGACACCTCTACCTCCGCAATCACTGACTCTTACACTGTTGATTTCAATTTCGGCCTCGTTCTCTTAGTCTGCATTACGTCGTAGTAGAATACTCGTCGATCACCCAAGTGGTCCGGCGTACGATTCTCGACCGGTACACTCGTTAAATTCGCTTAATCGGTTTGGTATGACCAGTAAAGGGTCATGGGTCTGTGGCGTTGAAGAGTCTCAAGGGAGAAAAAACAGCTGTCGAATACTCCCTGGTTTTCAGTGATTCCTTAACCGGCATCAATCTGTAATCAAACCTGAAACAATCAATGACCCTAAAATCTAACTCATGGATATTCATATATCATTATATTTGGCAGTGATCTACGCCTGTTTTGCGAGAATTTGTAATTCTATCAGACTGGATAAACTGGTCTTAAAAATGGGGTACCTAGGCTATTCGATTGATTTCAACTGTTTAGTCATCTCATTGTACAAGTAAAAACGAAATTCATTCTTCAACTCTTGTAAAGTTGCTATTTTTTATCTAGCTTTTGAGAACAAATATTTGTATTTTAACAAGTGTTTTTATGTCGTTGTGATAGTTATGACTTGGTCGTAACATTTTCACGTGGAATAATCAATCACTTTGACCGACAGGAGTGTAGACGTCCTATTGGATGTGCGTCGGTGGTACAGTGGTTAGGACTTTCGCCGACCACCATGTACATGGTCCGGGGTTCGATCCCCTGCCGACGCACACCTGATATCTATGGTTGGCCTACAAAATTTGGGCTATCGATATCACATGCTGAAAATTCCATACTTTTACCAAAAAATACGGTGTGGAATCAAGCTGTAATCAAAAAAAGGAGTCGCATTATAAATCAATAATATTTTTTCCGTTATATTATTTTCTCTATCACCGAACTTACAGATACTTATCATCAGACAGATATTTTCCTATATGTTCTTGATGACTCTTCTTATTGAATTCCTTATTTCTTGCTTATTATTATTATTATCATCCTGATAGACGTCAAGCTATTCAAGGCCTATTGAATTCAGAACACCAGAAAATAGTTCGTAATTCAGCTAAACTTATTGCTCGTCGTGAACGTAAATCAAAAGCGCTAGAGAAATCGACATCAAAATCAACAGCATTATCATTATCATCATCATCATCGATTTTTGGTTCTGTACATCAACAATTATCAGACAGCGATTCTGATCATAATTCAAGAAAATCTTTAATCAATGATACTAAAAGTATTGTATCATCAATTCGTAGTAAATCATCACGTTTACCGAAACGAGTTCATATAACCCGGTATGTTGTTAATATGTATTAATATGTCTGCTTATAGAATTTTACTTTTTGCTCACATTAATAATCTTTAAGCATTTGGGGGGGGGGGGGTAACTGAGATGTCCTTCTGTTGCATTTTGTGTAGAAATACCAGTGAGTTTGTTGTCCGAGTGGTTCCCACTAGGAAGTTATCTAGATGCTGTCCAGATTAGAGATAGGTGTGTAAGACAATGAAATAGGTGGACACACACTGGTGCTGTTTTACAATCTCCCCAGGCATATCTGCTGACGGCCAGTTTAGGCAATGTCAAGAGTAATTTTTTGGTGGATTTCATCATGAACTGACATGGGTTAGAGAACCATTGGAAAACAGGTTGAGAGTACTAGACAGCTGTTTCGTCCTAGTTTGGGACTCTTCATCAGTACGCACCCACCGGCAGGGTTTCAACCCAGGACCTTCTGGTTACAAGGCGAGCTAGCTTGCAGACCACTGAACCACTCTCTGGGACCCTATCCAATGGCTAGCTCATGAATTCTAATCTCTGCCAATTCACGACATAGCGCGATCACTTCGCAATGTCTTCTTCGATGAGTTACTGCCTCACCTTCAACCTGCTCGTCACGGCTTCCTACTAGAACCCCACGTAACTGCTTGAATAGGGCCAGTCGCTAGTGAGCATTAGATTTTGTAGAAAGCTTTCAAGTTGTCAAATGACCTTGGTGCATCGAGTGGGGAGTCTCAGTCTAAACTTGTAGTGCCGTTACCACTTCCTTCTATCTATCTATCTATCTATCAAAGTACACTACAGTTATCCACGTGAATTGAAATATAATCGTTGCTGAATATTCTGATCAATCAAAACTTCATGTATCAAATCACTGAAAGCCAGTCCACTAGATTATAACACAATGTTATTATGAATAATACTGTTTTGTGGAGGAGACACTTAATGTCCTAGGTTTCAGGTCTCAACCCTGCGTTACACAGTTATCTTATTTTTATTTATTTTATTGCTTTACATTCCGAGTAAAACATATGGCTCCAAGCTAGAGCGTTGCAGTTTCGGTTGCAGTGGTTTTATTTTTACAGGGTGGGGTTTCTAACCTGTCTCACGCTCAACTTTCCCTCTTTACTGGCTTAGCGAGGTTTAGGAGTGCGTTGGCCGTGGATCAAACCCCAGAAGGCGTGGGGCGTAGTTGGCGAGCGTTCTCTCGCTGAACTACCGATAGAAGCGTGTATCGGAGGTGGGATTCGAACCTACGTCTACATCTTGGATCAGAAAATTACTCCTCGGTCTGGCACCTTAAACCGCTCGGTTACCCCGACCTCCACACAGTTATCTGGGATACCATAATCTTCTATATTTCCTCACTTTCTTTCATAGAGAAAAATCAATTCCTTTTTAACATTGATTAATGCAGAAGGAACCTTAACTATTATGTTAGAGGAGCACAAGTGAAGGAACCTGTTAGCTTTCCCATTTAAACTACAGTACTTAAACCTAAATAGATTAATCGTCCATGTTCTCGTAAAATGCACAATATATATGTGCTGAGTATTAATGTTTCATTCAACTCTTTCTATTGATTTTTTCTCTGTTAAGTATGGATGAACTGTTAGCTTCTTCAAGTGATGACGATGAAAATAATAACTTCCTTAAAAGTAAATCACAATCTGACCGTGCTTCAGTACACTCACGAGCAAAATCAATACGAAGTCAAACAAAATCCCATGATGCTTTATCATCGAAGCATCCAATGTCACTTGTAGAAGAACTAGAAAATGTCAAACAAACAGCAGGATTGTGTCGACGATCACGTAAAAACTTACTGCAAAATGGATCTCTTGAAGAAGACTTTGACATGGATATTGATATTGATAGTAGTGAAGATGATGAGGCAATCAATAAAGCCGTGTGTAAACATCCTCTTCGATCGAGACAGCAAGTCCGTTTTGCTGATACAATTAGTCGTGCTTCGACAACTCGTAGTCATTTATCAAAACGTTCACAGAAAGCCGCCCAACAATTAGCATCAACAGCATTACATCATCGTCAAGCGGTTACTGATTCTGATCTATGGCTTGTAGAGAATCCGAATGATTCAGAAATTTTAGATTTATCTGACCCCAAGTCACTGGCACGACATACAGCTTTTGCACCAGATGATGTTACCGCGAAAGCAATGGTCAATGCTTTCAGAAAGTCATTAGTTCAACAGTCTTCTTCTTCTTCAGAAGTAGTTGAACGTAGTCAACCATTCCCCATTGTGAATGGTAAAATTGTAATTGGAAATCCAGTCGATGAAAGCCAATTGGTTAATAAGAAAGATAATTCGGGTAAGTGAAAAGTTATTTTATTTTCTAGGTAGATGTTATTTCTGTATCCTCTAATTCTGACTTATCTACTCAGTCCTGAACTATTAACAGCAGTGTATTGCGTATTATGTCGTTGGTGTATATGTGAAACACTACACCTAGGTTTCGTGCTTGTTGACACTCGTCAGCAGAGTGTATCTGTAGTCTTGAAGGAACTTAGGTCACTCAGTGCTGCCGATTGCCTCCAACCACCTAATGGACAACAATTCAGGGTGCACCATGATTTCGAGGCACTTAGTAGGGGTGATACAATTCAATCTGCATTGAATCAATAAACGACTAGACGGATGATACTAGTTACTAATTAGTGTCCAATTATTTATTTATTTATTTAAACGCAGAAAAACAACTTGGTACAATATGGCACCAAGACGATGCGCCACACAATAATAATAATAAAACAACAGAGATTAAAAGTAAAAAATAAGCAGAGAACGGATAGGGAACTTCGTCTGGAAGGAAAACAGACATACTTAACAAGATCAAACAGTATTCGTTAACTATCATCAGGAAAGGAAGAATAAAGGAAATTGCAGTACGTTCGCCATTGATTACAATGCTTGGCCATATCCGATAACGTTTCGAGCTCTGTCTTGGACTCCAACCAGGGAGACGTGACGCACCAACCGATGCTGACCTAGCACAAATATCCTTCATCTCACGACGCCGCGTCATGGACTGACCACCTCTCTGCCTTTTCCATCCCTTCCCAGGGCTAGCGAACAGAGGACTGTCCGGAAGCCTCTGGGATGACATTCGCAGCACATGTTCAAGCCACGGAAGCTGGTGTTTCCAAATGATGTCACTCAACATATGGTGATCTCCACTGTATCCAAACACATGCCGCCGAACCTCAGAACTACTCACGCGATGATGCCATCGAACGCAAGCGATCCTACGGAGACAGCGATGATTGAATACGCAAAGCCGCCGCACCGAAGCATTGTATACCCGACCTTTGACACCCAGGCTAACGTTGCGACGGTGCCAGAGGTGGCTCAAGTTGATGTATGCCACCCTAGCCTTCATGATACGGTTGGAAATCTCACCTGTCTCCCCCCCCCCCCCGCCAGGACTCACACAACTACCCAGATACACAAACTTATCAACAACTTGAAGCAGTTCACCTGCAAGAGTGAGTGCAGGTACAGGCTCCTGCCAATCGTGTAACAGTACTTTGCACTTAGACGGTGCAAAGCACATACAATGCTTACAGACACTGATCGCCAACTGATTCAATGCGATTTGAACAACCTGCATGTTATCACACAGTAAGACGAGGTCGAAAGTCTATTTCCAGGGAGCAGATCTACACCACCTTCACGCACATGCTTCAGAGCTGACTCCAGAATGTCATCGATGGAGTGTCCAATTAAAGTATATGTGAAACATTTTATGAAGGCTACAAGGATCAAAGCTTTTATATCTGTGCTAGTTATTTGTCATAGCTACATACTACTAGAAGAGCGTCTATTATTGTACAGTATACGTAAGTTCCTGATAAACGTCTAGTTGTTATATCCTCCTTGCAGGTTAAGCCAGCAGGAAGCGGACAAGATCTGTACAGTTGTATGATTTCAGTTTGTGTTCCCCTGACCTCTACTTCTCATGTTGCTTATGTATATGTATTATAGGTTGGTGTTCACTATTTATGCACCAACTGGTACTTAACAGCCAACTTCTTGGTCCAGTGTGGTCAGACTAGGGTTTTAATTTATAAAAACGTAATTAAAATTTTAAAATCTTGCCTAAGTCAGACATACTTGCATATAGCGTAGATAGATAGACAGATAATAGCTGTTAGCTTCTAATCTCTTGATAAGTTGTGTTGCAGAAATTTAGTTGACACGGTCTTTCTCAAGACTTAAATTGTTTAGTGATTAAATCTTTAAATTCTGCGCAGTATGATTCACACTCAGGTGTCCATGACAACACAAATTTTTCTAAAGTTTTGCGGGCTTTCCATTCAACATGTAATGTGGAGTTGTAATGTTTAGGTAAGTTGTTTCATATATCTGAATTATCACATCCTATACTCAATGGGGGGTGACCATAAGGCAGGAATATGCCGGTTAGATGAGGAAACTCTAGAAGATCTGGAATTCGCGGATGATTCATGTCTAATGTCACACAAACCCGAAGACTTACAGACAGGCGAAAACCAACAAATTGGCTGAAGAAGCTGCCACAGAAGACAGGACTTCAAGTAAACACAGAGAAGACGGGAGTGATGAAGACAACCAACCACCACCAGCAGCACCAATCATTATCAACGGAAGAAATTTGAAAGACGGTACTCCCTTCACTTATCTGGACAGCATCGTTTCAACTACAGACAGACAGCACGGATGAGGATGTCAAAACCAGCATTAGAAAGGCAAGATACGCCTTTATCGAAATAAAACTAGTTTGGAAATCTTCTGCACTCAGTCATCATAAAGAACAAAATTCGGATTTTTAACGACAATTTTAAGTCACTTTTCCTATTTGGATTAGAAACTTGCACTGCGCATCACTAAAAGCATTGTTTTAATAGGCTGCAGATTTTCACCAATAGTCGCCTTTGTGTTCTGCATACTAAAGGTCAGATGACAGATCAGAAAGAATTGGCAACAAGAAACTCTGAGAATGAATCAATCAATCAAGAACTCGTTGCCGAACAAATTTGCGGATGAAAATGGAGGTGGATTGGACACACGCTTAGGAGACTGTCGAATCACACCTCGCGACAGGATGTTGCTCGTGTTGAACCCGAATGGAAAACGACAAGTGGGACATCCAACGGTGAAATCGGGAGGGGGGTCGGGTGAGGACGAGATGAGGGACTATTAGCAATCGTGGAACCAGATGAAGAGCACTTCAGAGAACAAGATGAAATAAATATGTGTTGTTGAAACCCCTATGTTCCACTCGGAACCCAAAGGAGCAACAATAATAATAATTGTTATAGGGAATGGATGGATTTGAATTAAATTGGTTAACACATTGTAACTGTTGTGTGCGTCGGTGGCACAGCGGTTAGGACGCTCGCCGACCATGCACATGGCCCGGGGTTCGAATCCCGGCCAACGCACTCCTTTACCTCGCTAAGCCTCTGATAAGACTGGTAAAGAGGGAAGGTTGGGCATGAGGCTAGCAACCCCATCCTGTAAAAATAAACACTGCTACAGAAACTTCAAGCCACTAGCTTGAAGCCCTATGTTCCACTGGGAACGTGAAGGAATATTAATTATTAATTGTAACTGTTAAGTGTACATCTAATATTTTTGGGGGGGGGGCTTTTCTCAAACAATATCGAACTGAAGTTGTACTGACATGTCCTTCCTATTGACTCATTGACTTACTTGTTCCAAACTAAATTAAGATGTGTATGTTAGTAACGTGATCTCATTTTCAAAAGCATAGACCCCTTTTCAGAATTTATCAGTTCGTTCATTCTCTATTTATTTTTTTCTTACACAGAATGGGCGCTATCTGATGATGATGGTAATGATGACAGCAGTCTACCGGCTACATCTCATTATCAACAAGGCAAATTAATGAAAAATAGAAAACAAAAGACTCTGCAAATCCCTGGTCGTGTTTATGCCTCAACAAAGGCCAGAGGTGATATGAAACGACGTGGTATGCCTGAACCGTATGCATTTGTCCCACTCGGTGCTGGTATAGGCAAATCAGGTGATACAATGAGTCAAAAAATAACACCACTTGAACGTAGACGTCTACTCAGAGAAGTCGGCCTTGGCAGACAGAAACGGAAACGAATCCAAGGGGGCAGTAGTAAAGGCATGAAATCATCACTGATGAAGGCTAATAGTGGGTTGAAAAGTGGCAAAAAATCAAAGTTCTCAAAGATTAAAAACTTTTAATGGATTTATAATTTTTTTTGAAAAAAAAAAGAAAAGAAGAGAAATTTGACAGATAAGCTTTGTGATCACTTGTCTTGTACCTGATCATAATGTATTGCTCTCATTGAAGCTTTTTTTATTTGAATGCTTTCACAATTGACTTGGTTTTTTATTCGATTGATAAAAAAGAGACATAAGTATGTGTTAATTGGCCATTGAGGTATGATTCATTTGATGTTTAAGCAATAGTTTCCGGTGTTCTATTTGCTGTGGTTATTACTACTGGCCCACAAGCATCGAATCATTAAGGAGACAGCTAGATTTAATCTTCACTGTTAGGTTTACAAATTCATCCTTTAAGAATCTACCAACGGAAAGGGCAAATGTATTAGATAGTTCAAGAATAAGAGCAGAACCGTAGTATTTCTGATTGAAATATGAATTGATTTGGATGAATTACAGATTATTAAAGAATTGAACTTGTATTTAAGAGGTTTAAAGTAGGTTAGTAAATATCCGAGAGTTAAATTTACAAAAGAACAGGCGTTCGTTCGTTCAGCGAAGAGTTACTCCTCTTTTCGGCGATATCATTCTCAAGCTGTACAATCGCATATTAATATAGTAAATTGTCTTAGCAACAAAATGAATATTTCCAAAGATTTATTTATTTATTTATTATAGCTTGATTCCACACCGTATTTTTGGAACAAGTATGGAATTTTCAGCATGTGATATCGGTAGCCCAATTTTGCAGGCCGACCATAGAAATCGGGTGTGCGCCGGCAGGGGATCGAACCCCGGACCATGTGCATGGTCGGCGGGAGTCCTAACCACTGTGCCACCGACGCACATTAGAATTGTAGACTTTAGATAACAAATTTCGTTAAAGGGTTAGAAACTAAATAAGCAAGTTGAGTGACGTGATCTAATTGACAGAGTTGAGTAAAGGTCAGCTATAATTCAAAAAATTGACCATAAGTCAAAAGTGGTAATAAGGGGTAGAGATGTAATAAGTGGTGATTGGGTGGGGAAGAAAGTATTATCCACTTAAGAAGCAAACAAGCAAAAGAAATGTTAGATTGTAGCGTAAAAAGGAAAAAAGATGGGAATTTAAACACTAGTGTTTACAGAAAACCCACACATTCAAACAGAAATTTAGACTTCTGATCATCCCATCCTATGTCAGTAAAAATAGGATTGGTGAAATGTCTAAGTTATAGGGCACAAAATCTAAGTAGTACCAGGGAAAATCTAAGACAGGAGGTGGGGCATGTAAGAGAAGCTTTGAAACTTAATAATTACCCTGACAAATTAGTCAGAAAGTATGTAGGGAAATGTAAAAATAACTGAAGATAATATTAACGACAACATACTCAAAACAACACCGACTCTAAGAAATCTAAATCATCAGTAGTAATTCCATACAAGGAAGGAACCTCGGAAACCTTACGCAGAATTCTTAACAAGGCAGGAATAAAAGTGGCTGGTATTTAAACCCGCAAACTCAATTAGAAACAAGCTTTGTCAGTTAAAAAATCCTGTGGAGCCAATTAAACAAAAGTTTAATTTATCTGATGCCCTTCTGGAATGATTGTCAGATCAGATACATAGGTCAAAGTAGTAAAACAGGTGCAGCTAAACTAGCGGATCACAAAAACCTAGCAAACTCTAGATTAGTTGACCAGAATAAGATAAGAAATCTAGAGAATAGTTCAGCTATAGCACTACATGCAGTTACACACAACCATACAATAGGATGACAGTTTTAAAATCTAATGTAACATGGGGGAGGGAGAGATTGGTAACAGAACCTTTGTTTATCGAATCAACTGCAAATACATGTAATAGGAATGATCCAACACCTGTCCCAGATATCTGGAAAATTCTACTACCCCTACAACAAGTAGGAGAAGACAAAGAAAACTATAAAACTCAAGTTTCGAAGCCGTGTGATTATAATTGATATGATTATGAACAATAAATTTTGTTCGAAACGTCATCCAGTAAATAGTACTGCTTCACTGACTGTGTGGTATATCTATTAAACAAACCAATATGGAATTACTTACTACCACAGTGCCTAAGTTTTACACATATATTAACACTGAAGTTGGTTTTTTTGGTGTCCAGATTCTATCAGGTGTTTCAGAATAAAGTTTACGGGGGACTTTTTCTCTCCTTTACAAAACCAAGACGGTAAGTGTTCGATGATAAGTTTCGATAGCAAACTTTGAATACGGCCGACATACCTAGCTCCACAGGTGAATTGGTAGATGCACACTGATGAAGCCGGCCAACAATGGTATCTTAACACCGAATACGTAAATTTTGTTTCGTATTTCTTTTGCTTGTTTGCTTCTTAAGTGGATAATAATTTCTTCCCCAACCCATCACCATTTATTGCTTCCCTACCCCTTATTGCCACTTTTGACTTTTGTTCAGTTTTTTGAATTATAGCTGAGCTTTACTCAACTCTGTCAATTAGATCACGTCACTCAACTTGCTTATTTAATCTTACTTTAGTTTCTAACCCATTAACGAAATTTGTTATCTAAAGTTTACAATTCTAATGATAAATCTTTGGAAATATTCATTCTGTTGTTAAGACAATTGACCGTGAACATATGCGACTGTACAGCTTGAGAATGATATCGCCGAAAAGAGGAGTAACTCTTCACTGAATGTCTTTTCTTTTATGACTCAATGGGAATTTTTAAAATTACGTTGAGGATAAAGGCTATCGCGAGGTGTTTTCGCGCATTGTATAGGAAACATCACAGCTTATAATCTAGCTGCGTGAAACAGGTTGATAAAACATCTAAACGTAACATGTCATGTAATGATAACAGCATTCCTCTAGGCCCGTAATACAAAATCAACCGACTACCTGAGCAAATTCAATTCGTATGTGATCACTTCCGCTCTACCCATGCACTTTTACTGAAACGCAAGTTTGATTTGCGATAGCGTATATCCTCGCTCAATAAAATATCTCAATTGCTGGACACTACAAATAAGATGAAGATAAGTTGAAGGATTTCATCATCAGTAGACATTGGTTAGAGAACCACTGGAAAACCTGGGAGTATTGGACAACTGTTTTGTCAGCCTAGTTTGGAACTGATCAACAGTACAGGGTTCGAACCCAGGACGAGCTCGTAGAAGTTAGAATTTATGGACCATTGGATTGGGTTCTAGTTGCTTAATGGTCTACGAGCTAGCTCGCCTTGTAACCAGAAGGTCCTGGGTTCGAACCCTGGCGGTGGGTGTGTACTGCTGATTAGTCCCAAACTAGTCTGACGAAACAGTTGTCCAGTACTCTCAACTTTTCCAAGGGTTCTTTAACCGATGTCAGCTCATGATGAAAACATCCAGCCAGTCACATAAAATCAATACTTGAAGATGAAGACAAATTGACCATCACTGTATACTTTAATCCTATCTGAAGTGAACTTTCTTCCTCATATCCATTCGCAGTACAAACACTGTACACTTCCAGTTTTTAATTCCATGATTAAGATCCACCTCTGCTTGCGAAACCTGATAGTGTATGTGAACAAAGTTATACTAGGCCAACGAGGCGCATTTCCTTATGTCTATACTGTGTACTGAGTTTGAAATATTGTACCACTTAAAGTGATTGATATGGTGATTTCGCCAGCCAAATTAGAGTCCTATGCAAAAAAGCCTGTGAAGTATTCCTGCTGTGTTTTCATACACATGGGTGAATTCAGTCTCTGGACAGTCTAATACTTTAAGTTCCGTTGTTTGTGAATGAGACAGTTTGCACATATTACATGCAAGTTACATGATCCACGTTAGCATTTCACATTTCCAATCATTTGATTACTAATTTCAGTCATAATTAGTAAGTAATTTATTCTTTTGACGTTCTGTCAACAATCACTAACTGTTTGAACAAAGAAAGAAGAAACATTGGCGAAGAATAATCTGGATCCATTTTATTTCTTTGGTTCTGATCAGCTGCGTACAACCTGATTTTTTCAATAAAATAAAAATAAAAAGTGTACAATTTCAACAAACCTTTGTCCATTAGCAAGCATAGTGTCAGAGCTTCATAGTAAAATAAGGCATTGAGATTTACAGGGTATCTAAAGTGTCACGACATGTATGTATATATCTTGGTAGAGAGAAGTTTCTTAAAAAAATTCAGTAACACTTGTGTTGTTGGGGTGGTAACAAAAGACAATTAGTATTAGTTACTTAATTAAATAAGAGAAGATCAAAATTTCGGTGCACATGAGGTCAGATGAGAAGTTGATGATGTAATACAGTGAGCAGAACTCAGAAGATCAAGAAAAATTATCTCTTAAGAGAGTCAAGCGAAAAATAAAGGGGGGAGTGAAAAGATAAGTTAACAAAATTAGAAAACAAAGAGTTACTAAGAAGTGAGTTGAAGTTCAAAAACGGATTCTTTTTGCACACATCAGTCAGGCTTCAATCGTTTTATTGCTATAGCTTCAGCAAACCTGTGAAAACTTGAGGTACTTTGTCTGTTAATTATTTTGAATGATTCCAGCACATCTACTCGGTGTCCTGTGTCAATCAGGTGTTTGGCGATTGAAGAGCTTAAACAACCCTGTCCCTTTATAACCGGAGGCTCCTTGGTACATATTCGCAGAATCTGACGTAGGCCCTCCTATCACTGTCTGTATTACTTGAAGCAGCGACTGCACTTCATATCAGGTTCAAATTTCATCGTTCATATTTATTGTTCTAGTGTCTTCCAGCAAAAAGCACATTTAGTCTATGTATAGTTATTGGTTAAAAGACATTTCGCCATTAGGCAGGCATATTATTGTTTTAAAAATAGGTAAGGCATTTGTATATATTTTTTTCTTAACTAGTGAATAACTACCCACCAGAAATATATGAAGAACTATACAAAAACTAAGACTATCAATAAAAGTAACGAAAATAATATAGAATTCAGAGCCTCTGTAGTACTGCCCTATTAAAGAAGGAACGTCAGAGGCCTTACATAGAATTCTGAATGACGCTGGAATTAGTATGGCGTTTAAACCAACCAACCAACCATCTCACTCAGAGATAAACTTTTTCAGCTTAAGGACCCAATAGATTCAATTAAGAAAAATAACATAACTTATCAAATACCATGTAATGACTGTGAGGTCAATCACATCATAGGTCAGTCAAATTAGT